CAGTCGCAGTCCCTGCTGGAGCCTTCCTCTCCACTTCCTGCTCCCTCTCCTTACACTGGTCCTACTGGAGGTCTTGCTGAGCGTCGTGAGCCTGCGTCTCGTCCCGCGTCGCCGGTTCGTGCTGCTCGCGCTAGTGGTCGCAGTTCACGTCAGCGTCCTCCTCCTGTCCCTGGCACGCACCGGATGTCTTTGCGTCCGTCCACTGCTCCTCTGCGTGCCCCTTTGCCTTCTCCTCCTGAGTCCTCTCTTCCTGCGCTTGCCGACCCTGAGTCGGACTCTCTTCGTGCTGCCAGTCCTACTGTCACGCGTCTGCTTGCTACTGTCGTCACTGACCCCTCTTTTGAGTCCACTGCTGCGTCTGCTCTAGTCGCTGAGCTCGTCGACTTTGCTGCTCGCTGTCGTCTTGACTACGCTGCTAGTCTTGTTGCTGAGTCTGCGTCTGTCTGTCCTCCGTCCGTCGGGGGTGAGTGTGCTCTTGGCACGGACGTCCTAGAGGACACGCAGGAGGAGTTACAGTGTCTAGCGGCTGCTTCACCTCATCTCGCGTCTGTACTGCTTGCCCCTGAGGGAGACCCGGATGCACTAGACATCCCGACTCCGCGTTCTTACGCGGAGGCCGTAGAGGGTCCCTACTCCTCTCAGTGGCAGGCAGCTATGGATGCAGAGATGGCTTCCTGGAAGTCCACAGGCACCTACGTTGACGCGGTTCCCCCTCCTGGGGCGAACATCGTCAGTGGCATGTGGATCTTCAGGGTGAAGCGGCCGCCGGGCTCTCCACCTGTCTTCAAGGCACGGTACGTTGCTCGTGGCTTCAGTCAGCGGCAGGGAGTTGACTACTTTCAGACCTTCTCTCCCACCCCGAAGATGACTACTCTTCGGGTGCTGCTGCACATAGCCGCTCAGCGCGACTACGAGCTTCACTCTCTCGACTTCAGCACTGCGTTCTTGCAGGGTAGCCTGCACGAGGAGATCTGGCTTCGCCGTCCACCTGGCTTCACTGGGACTTTCCCTCCTGGCACCCAGTGGAGCCTCCGACGGCCAGTCTACGGTCTCCGACAGGCACCGCGTGAGTGGCACGACACACTGAGGACTACGCTTGCGGCTCTTGGGTTTGCTCCTTCTACTGCTGACCCGTCGCTGTTTCTTCGCACCGACACTTCCCTGCCGCCGTTCTACATCCTCGTGTACGTCGACGACTTGGTCTTTGCCACAGCGGACACTGCTGGACTCGCCTACGTGAAGTCCGAGCTGCTGAAGAGACACACGTGCACAGACCTGGGTGAACTGCGCAGCTACCTTGGCTTGCAGATCACTCGGGACAGAGCACGCCGCACCATTACCTTGACTCAGTCACACATGGTGCAGCAGGTCCTTCAGCGCTTCGGCTTCACGTACTCCTCGCCTCAGGCCACTCCTCTGCCTACTCGCCACTCACTCTCAGCTCTGCCTTCGGATGAGTCCGTAGAGTCGAGTGGCCCGTATGCAGAGCTTGTTGGCTGCCTCATGTACCTGATGACCTGCACACGACCTGACCTTGCATACCCTCTGAGCATTCTTGCTCGCTATGTTGCTCCTGGGAGACACAGACCAGAGCACATGGCTGCAGCGAAGAGGGTATTGCGCTACCTGTGCAGCACGTCGGGCATGGGGCTAGTGCTTGGAGGGCGGAGTCCAGTGGTCCTTACCGGCCACGCGGACGCTTCTTGGGCTGACGACCAGGCTACGCAGCGGTCGTCACAGGGTTACACCTTCAGTCTTGGTTCCGGCTCTGTCTCGTGGCGGTCTACTCGCTCGTCTTCGGTTCTCGGCTCCAGTTGTGAGGCCGAGATCTACGCCGGAGCCATGGCTGCACAGGAGCTTCGCTGGCTCACCTACCTGCTGACTGACCTTGGAGAGCCGCCTCGTTCTCCTCCAGTGCTGTACGTAGACAACAAGGCCATGCTGGCCTTGTGTCGAGAGCAGCGCTTGGAGCACAGAACGAAGCACATTGCTCTCCGCTACTTCCTTGCTCGTGAGCTGCAGCAGCGTGGTCAGTTGCGACTTGCGTACGTGGCCTCTGAGGCCAACACTGCTGATGTGTTCACCAAGGCACTCGCGCCTTGTGACCATCAGCGCTTTTGCACCCAGCTGGGTCTTGTGCCTGTTTTGCCTCACTTGCTCTCCTCTTGACTTCACTTGTACTGTTACATATATTTATACCTGCTCTTGCTTGTCTAGTTCTATATATATATGTCTGTACTCCTGCATGTGAACTGGCCTCTGGCCCTGCTCTTGTGCTCGGACTGTGTGGTGACGTTGTGATCCACCCTGAGCTTGCTCTGCTTTGCTTTACCTGACTGGTCTTGTGACCCCTTGTTCTCCCCCACTTTGCCTATGGGGGTGTGTCAGATTTATATGACATAGTTTCTGTAGGCTATAGTGGGGTAGCACATATGGGGTACAGGGTTTCTAGGGTTGTATTTGTACCCAATCTTCCATAGTCATTTCATTCCTGTTTTCCTTGTTTCACAAATGGGTCTTCCGCATCAAAACGAAAGCAGACGGCACAATCGAGAAGTTCAAAGCACGCTGGGTCGTGCGTGGATTCGACCAAGAGCAAGGACGAGACTTCACCGAGACATTCGCCCCAGTTAGTCGACATACCTCTCTTCGAATTCTTCTCGCCGTTGCCGCCATGAAGAAGAAGAAACTGCGACAAATCGATGTCGCCAACGCATTTCTCTACGCACCCGTCGACGCCGAAATCTTCGTCGAACTCCCACACGGTACCCACGGAAAACCCAATCAGGTCTGCCATCTACTGAAATCGCTCTACGGAATCAAACAAGCCCCGCGGCTGTGGCAACAGCACCTACACACCCGACTCACTCGCATCGGATTCCGCCAACTGCCGCACGACCAAGGAATGTATCGATTCACTAAAGACGCCGATTACATCCTACTGATCGTCCACGTCGACGACCTACTCTACATCGGCTCCACCGACGACATCACCACCTGGTTCGAAGGGGAGCTGTAGAAGGACCTCACACTCACGGTTTCTTCTACCGTCACCTAGTACCTCGGGCTCAACATCCACGAAGAAGAAAATGCTATCTACTTAAGCACCGAGAAATACGCCGACACTATCACCAAGCGCTTCTCGCTCACACCTACCGCTATCGCCACGCCATACCGCTACATGGCAGGAAGTAACAAAGGAAATTCCGCTCCACTCAAAGCTGCCGGAATACGAGACTACCAGAGGAAACTGGGCTGCCTCCTCTTCGCAGCCGTCACCTGCCGCCCGGATATATCCTACTCCGCAAGCCAACTCGCTACCTACCTCAAGAAACCCGAAGCAGAGCACCTGGCGGAGCTCGATCGCGCACTACACTACTTCGTGAGCACTCCGACGATCGGCCTGACTTACTACAAAAACGAAACTACGACCACGAAACTAATCGGCTACGTCGATGCCGATCATGCCGGCGATTCCGACAATAGGCCCTCTCGCACTGGCTACGTCTATCGTCTCGAGCCTATCGGACCTATCTCCTGGCAGTCGAGCAAGCAGGAACTAATCGCTCTCTCTTCAGCTGAAGCAGAATATATCGCCCTCTGCTCAGCCACCAAGGAAGGACTCTACCTTCGCGAGCTGCTGGAAGAAGCAAAGTTAGCCGAGTTACTCAACTTCACCCTATTCTGCGACAACCAATCTGCAATTCGCATCGCCGACAAAAGCGGATTCGCGAACAGAACGAAGCATATCGCTCTGCGATACTTCTTCGTGAAAGACGACTCGAATTATCCTACTGTCCCACGTCCGAGATGGTTGCCGATTACTTGACCAAGAAACTCGGAAAACAGAAGTTCGAGTACTGCATGCTGCAGACTGGACAAGGCCACGTCACCATTAGCGACACTCCAGAAGCGGAGGGGAGTGTTGGGAACAATAAGTCTTAAAGCGCCTCTGTCGTGTCGAAACTCAGGACACAAGCGAAGCAGTCCAAATCGAAGCATCGCGAGTCAACCCTCGGAGGTTAGGATAACCGCCTGGAGGTTACGCGAAGGTCAAAAGTCAGCGACCTTTGACTTGACAAATACAGCGCGACAGCAAGGACACACAACTGACTCGACATTGAGCAGTTGCCCGGGTCGCACTGCATCGAATCGCAACAGCAAAACAGTTTAATTATATCTATTCGTATTCCTTGTACTCTTATATAAAGCCTTGTATTTGCTTGTTTTAATCAACTCACTTTGCCCTCACATACTAGCGCAAGGTGGTTCAAGGACTTTTCATTCAAACGCTTCCGCTATTACAATCCTACTCAGACTTTAACTCTACAAAGATCCTAGGGCATCTCAGCCCAACACCCTCTACCCCCATCTACCACCCCTCCACCCATGGTGGTACCACCTCACCATACCACAGAAAGTAAAGGAACCATGTTGCACTCAAGGGTGCATCAAACTACGGGCATGGGATGGATGGGTGGAACAATCTCATCACATCACACCCCAATCAGTGTAGTGTAGATGTACCGGTACAGTTTGTTACGCATGAGGGGCTGTATAGCAGCAGGGCGAGCAGTGGTAAGGAAGGAGGGCGGATGAATATGGAACAAGGCAGGCAGGACGCTAGGGAAATGTTTGCACCGCAATCGTGAGTCGTGTGCTAGATGGAGAATCTGCATGCTTGTGTGCCGTGTGGGTAAGGAGGGAGGATAGGTGCAGGTAGGGAGTGTGTGGGTGTGAGAAAGAGAGGGGGGAGGAGTGGGAGAGGGAGAGGGAGAGAGGGAGGAGAGAGAGGAGAGAGAGAGGGAGAGGGAGAGGTAGAGGGAGAGGGAGAGGGAGAGGGAGAGGCAGAGAGAGAGGGAGAGGGAGAGGTGGCGGGAGAGGTAGAGGCAGGAATAGCAACAGGAAGAGGGTGTGCATGGGTGCAAGCAAGCGACTGTTGAGGCGTCTCAGAAGAGGGTGTGCATGGGCGCAAGCAAGGTGCAAGCAAGCAAGGGCATCTAAGCGGAGACAACAGGTCTGGGTCGAGTGGGGGGGAAGACCCGTCCACCAATGTCAATCTTGATCGGCATCTCCTGCTCACATGCACCGGACGAGTGGGGGAGGGGGGAGAGGGGAGGGGGGAAGGTGGGCTGGGGGAGATGAAGGAAAAGGTAACAAAGGAAAGGGACAGTGATGGGGGGGAAGGAAGACCCGTCCACCAACGTCAATCTTGATCGGCATCTCCTGCTCACATGCATCAGACAAGGGGGAGACGGGCGGAGGGAGGAAAAGGGGTGGGGGGTTCAGGGGTTTAGAGACATGAAACTAGAGGTGGCTTATGTGGTGATTCTAGAAGGGGGGAGATCGCTGTATTGATGGGCGCCTAGTGCAGAGGAGCAGCAAGAAAGCAGCAGAGCAGCAAGAAAGCAGTGGTGCTGGATGGAGGGGAGGGGACATGGTGAGAGAAGAGACGAGAGAGGGCTTGAAGAAGAGAGAGAGGGCGATGAATTACTTTTGAAGAATGTTAGGGACTACATCAAAGTTCAAGAGAAGAGGGTGTGTGAAGGAGGAGAGTGCTGGGTGGGGAAGGAAAGGGGCATACAAGTCTGCTTTGCGTTGCACCGCACGTCTTTGACTTGGTATGGCACTCACCGTCAGCATCATCAGCATCACCAACAAAGGCACCACACATCATCATCACCAGCACCAGCACCAGCACCAGCACCACCATCACCATCACCATCACCATCACCATCACCATCACCATCACCATAACCATCACCATCACCGCCACCGCCACCATCAGCATTTCACCTTGAAGAGAAGGTCAAAGGCAAGGAGGTCCCATGGGAGAGTGAGTGAGATGAGACAGCACCGCAGCGGCTGCACTGCCGGCCCCGCTGCTGCTGCCTTGCCCTTCCCTCCCCCATCTCCCGACGACCCACCACCAGCACCAGAAGCACCGGCCGAACCACCAGCAACACCACCACCGCCGCTGCCGCTGCCACCACTGCTGGTGCCAGCAAGAGCACTTCCAGCTCCTGCTCCTGCCGCTCCTCCTCCTGCAGCCGTTATTCCCCCAGGGGAACCAGCATCCTCCAAATCATCATGAACCATTGTACGCTTAGGAGGTGTCTGCGTCACCTTCTTGAAAAACCCCGAGATCCGCCCCCCAGCACCGCCACCGCTACCGCTCCCGCTTCCTCCTCCCGACGAGTCCCTCTCCTTGTCCTTGTCCTTCCCCCCATGCTTCGGACTGCCTGCGTTCTCCCCGCCACCTCCCAACTTCTGCAGCTGCTCCTGCACCGATTTCAACTCCACCTGAAGCTCTCGCAACCGCTGCTGATTCTCCTCCTTCTTTCTCTTCCTATCCTCCGCCTCTTCCGCCGCCTCCTTCCCCTTCCCCTTCGCCTTGTCCTTCTCCACCTCTTCCTGCTGCTGCTGCTGAGCCTCCACAAGAGCCATCAACTCTGACTGCACCGACCATAGCTTGCCTTGAAGCTCAGAGAGAGAGGGTCGGTGGCGGTTGTCCCCATCCTTCTTCTTCTTCTCCCTCGGCTTTCGCTTCTTCTCGGTCTCCTCTGGGTGCACTGCGGTGGGGGGGGGTGAAGGGCGAGACAGAGTACACACACAAGGTTGAAGTGAGGCAATTCTTTAGGCAATGGGTCTGTGGAGGTTGTTCCCGTCTTTCTTCTTCTCTCTAAGCTTGCGCTTCTTCTCGGTCTCGTCTGGAGCACTGCTATGGTGGTACGGGGGGGGAGTATAAAGAAGGTTTACAATGTACCTACTCATTCTTAAATAGAGTAACGCATGGCCTTATGCCCTGGCCCTGGTGTGTGGCGACTAGAATGAATGCTCACCACCGCTCACCACCGCTCACCATCGCTCACCATCGCTCACCATCGCTCCCTCTCGGAATCCTCTGGGTGCACTGATGGTCGTGGTACTTATACCAAGCCAGGCCAGCACTTACACACGAGCTCTGAGTGAAACAAGTGGGAGGAATGTTTCGCCTCTTAAAAAATGGGCTGCAAGCGCATCGTGCAAAACAGAGCAGGAGACTTCTCTGAGAAAAAGCTCTCAAAATCGACCGGCTCCAATGAAAGAAGCTCGCTCAGACGCTCACTCAGAAGCTCACTCAGAAGCTCTCTTAGAAAGAAGCTCACTCACCCTCGGGAGCAGGCAGCACGAGAGAGACAGCAACGTCCGCCTCCCCTCTCCCCCCTGGCCCTCTCATCACCAGCTTCTCTGGCTTGGGCGGCTGCACCTGCCCCCACATGCTGAACCCCGTGTTCCCCCCTGTGGTAGCAAGCAACGCAAGGGGAGGAGAGGTGCAGATGGGGAAGCAGACAGCAGAGTGCGGTGCAGTTGTAGAGAGATGCTCGCGGTGGTTAGGAGGAAGAAGAGGGAGGAAGGACGGGCGCTTTTCTTTACAGACACAGAATCTGACAGCGGAGCGCGGTGCAGGTGAAGAGACACGCGTGTGGTGGATGGGAGGAGGAGGAGGTGGGAGGAGGAGGAGGAGACAGGACGCACCCTGGAAGGCGGAGCGGACGAGCGGGTAGCTGACAAAGCCCGAGAAGAGCGTGATCTGGGAGGGAGGCGCATGAGGAGAGGCGCATGAGGGGAGGCGCATGAGGGGAGGCGCATGAGGGGAGGCGCATGAGGAGAGGCGCATGAGGGGAGGCGCATGAGGGGAGGCGCATGAGGGGAGGCGCATGAGGGGAGGCTCATGAGAAGGGGGGACATGTATGAGTATGAGGGGAGAACCGCATGAGGAGAAGGGGTTTGTAATGAGAGAGAGGGAAGGGCAAGGGTGAAGGAAACGCGTTGGCTGCATCGCGTTCGGAGAGTCGGTTACACGGATGAGGTTGGTTGGTGAGTCGGGTGCATTAAGAAGAGGACCAGTTGGATGGATGGATGCAAGGAGCCAGTCTCATTTGTGCTTGTCTTGTCCCTCCCTCCCATTCTTTCCCTCCGTCCTTGGAATTAGTAGGCTACAGCGGCTACATGGGCGGAGTTAGAGAGGTGGGTTGGTTGCATTAAGAGGACCGGTTGAAGCAAGTCCCGTCCGTGCCCTTCCCCTCCCCTCCCTCTCCCTCTCACCCTTCCCCCCCTTTTTCCCCCTTTTCTCTCCTTTTCCCCCCACTGGCCCGCTTTCCTCTCCCCTTCACTCCTTCCCTTACCCCTTCACTCCCTCCCTTCCCCCCTTTACTCCCTCCCTCCCCCCTTCACTCCCTCCATCCCGCCTTCTATCCCTCCTTAACACATCAGTGACATTTGAGACCACTCCACAATCTCTCTCCCACACCCACACAACCGCACAGACACACCCACAACCACCCACCCACCTTGGGCTGCCCATCCGTGACCTCCCCAAGCGCCTTGGCCTCGCTGCTGGTGCCGCGCCGGAACAGCCGCGAGTCATGAGGCAATATTTTAGGCACCTCAAAAATCGTCTCATGACTAGCTGCTGGTTCCGTGCCAGAACAGCCGCCGGGAGCAGTCCGGTTGACCATCTTTGTGGCGCCTTAAGAAGCATGTCACTCCACAAACACACCCCCCCCCCCCACACACACACACCCCACAAACCCCTTCACAACCCCACACACTCCGCCACACTCCTGGATGGACAACCCTGCGCAACCACCCCACACACCCCTGCACACCCCCCACACAACCACACACCCACCTTGGGCTGCCCATCCGTGGCCTCCCCAAGCGCCTTGGCCTCGCTGCTGGTGCCACGCCGGAACAGGCGCCGGGACCCGTCCGGGTTGACCTTCTCCACAACATCGTCCGGGGGGAACGCCGCCCCTCCGTGCGCGTTCAGCATGACACAGAAGCAGTGGTCAGGGTCCTCCAAGACCTGGCGGTTGGGGGGGGAGGAGAGGAGGGGGAGGGGAAAGGGGTGAGCATTGGGAAAGGCCGTTCCGCCATGTGTGGTCAGCATGACACAGAAGCAGTGGTCGGGGTCCTCCAGGACCTGGCAGCAAGGGGATGGGAAAGGGCGGGGGAAGAGGTGTGCAGATTGGGGACTGCCGCCCCTCCGTGTGCATTCAGCATCATGCAGAAGCAGTGGTCGGGGTCCTCCAAGACCTGACAGTGCGGGGGTGGGGGGGAAGGGCGACACACGGGAGCGAAAAGGGTTGAGCATTGGGGGGAACGAACGCCGCCCCTCCGTGTGCGCTCAGCATGACGCAGAAGCAATGAGCAGGGTCCTCCAAGACCTGGCGGTGGTGCGGGAGGAGGAGAGGGGGCGGGGGATGGGAACGGGGTGAGCATGGTAAACGGGGAAAGGAGGGCAGTGTCTCTCATTCTCGCAGTCTCAACAAAGCACCGCACGGCACCACACCGCACCAGACGCCACCACATGACACCGCGCAATACCGGAGGTCAGCCAGCCACTCACCACGGCTTCAAAGGTGTTGTCGTAGTCATCAACAGCAAAGCAGATGTCGGGGAAGGAGGGCAGCATCTCTCCCTCTCACAGTCACAACACCATTAAAGCACCGCACGGCACCACACGTCACCGCGCAACACCGGAGGTCAGCCAACCACTCACCACGGCCTCAAAGGTGTTGTCATAATCGTCAACAGCAAAGCAGATCTCGGGGAAGGAGGGCAACGTCTCCTGTGCCTTGGACGTGTCCACGTCTATACGCGCCTTGCTGGGCGATGCAAAGACCCTCTTTGTCACCTGCACGTGGAGTGTGAGAGGGGAGGGCGTGGGGTGTGGCGCGCGGGGCGTGGAGAATGGGGCAACAGGGTATGATGACATGGGGGCGTGGGGGCATGGAAGCATGGGAGCATGGGGCATGGGGTATGGGGGCATGAAACCAGAGACTCCGTGTCACGGCAAGGAGACAGGCATGAAAGGACAAGATATGGTACGAGGCATGCCCAAACCCAACCATGTCCAGAGCAAAAGGATACCGTGCGACCCTTCACATGCACCATGCACCACATGCCAAGCCGACCCATGCCATGCCATGCCAAGCCGACCCACCCATGCCATGTCATGCCATGCCATGGAATGCTGTGCGTATATCCCAGCCCACCTTCGATATGGGGTGCACAGGGGCCTTGCTTGACCTGCGATGAGCCTCCAGGTCCTGCCGACTGAAGGGAGTAGCAGCAGAAATAGCAGGGCGCAGTGGGAGCAGAAGGAGCAGGAATATTTAAGGCGCCGCAGATATCATCTCAGTTTACGCGGATTTTGCATGGGGTGCACAGGGGCCTTGCTTGACCTGCGATGCGCCTCCAGGTCCTGTCGACTTGGGGGAGGAGCAGCAGATGCAGAGCGCAGTGGGAGCAGAGGGAGCAGGAGCCGAAGCAGGGAGCGATGGAAGCAGGAGAAGAAGCAGCGAGCAGTGGGTGCAGGAGAAGAAGCAGGGACAAGTGGGAGCAGGAGCAGCGAGAGCAGAAGCAGCAGGAGCAGGAGCAGTGGGAGGCAGACCACGAGTGGGATTGGAAAGAGAGGCAGTTGCAGAGAAGGCTGGAAACTTGAGAACCGCGTGCAGCAAGGCGATGGTGCTGGTGAGGCAGATAGAGCTGCTGCATGCATGCATTAAAGCCCCTGCTACACGCTTCGGTTGAGGTGGAAGGCATCTGTTTTCAAGGCGGCTCTAGAACAGACAGACCTGGGCGTGGGCAAGTGAGTGACCTGCGAGAGGAGAGCCGCTGCCCTGCAGAGAAGGCGATGGTGAGCATCCACTACGTGTGGCTTTGAGACATCGCAAAACTAGAACTCTGTGTGGCAGATGCGGTTGAGATAGAAGGCTCAGTATAGCTCAGCCGACAAGCGACCCCGCCCGGATGAGCTCGCTGCCCGCAGGCAAAAAAAATAAACCCCAGACGGGCATGCATCCGGTCAGGGAGGCATCAACCCTAAACACAGGGAGGCATGGATTTAGGGTTGATGCCTCCCTCGGATGGCATGCCATCCGATGGGGTTTTATTTTTTTTCTGCCCGTCGGTCAGGTCGACGGTGGTCGACGGCCGTCGGACCACCGTCGGACCCCGTTGGGTTGAGACATATGGCGGAGTCTGTTTCTGAGGCAGCTCAAAAACAGTCCTGCGAGTGGCAAGTGATTCGACTGTGGCAAGTCCCCTGCAAGTGGACTCCGTGAGGCCGATAAGGTTGAGGTTGAAGAAGTAGGTTTTTGGGGGCAGCTTAACAACAGACCTGCGAGTGGCAAGTGACTGACCTGCAGATGGCGACGGTGAGTGTGAACTCTGTGTGGCAGATGAGGTTGAGATAGAAGGAGCGCCGCCAGTCCACCTCGTCTGCACTCTCGCCCACCACCTTTGCCAACTGTGTGTGCACGCACAGCACAGATGTGCAGAGACAGAGACAGAGACAGAGACAGAGACAGAGACAGAGACAGAGACAGAGACAGAGACAGAGACAGAGACAGAGACAGAGACACGTGGCGACATGCACGTAGACAAGTGCAGACGCGTCCCATGGGGGTGGAGGCGGGAGGAGAGGAAGAGGAGGAGGGAGGGGGGGGAGAGGTATAGGAGGGATGAGAGGGAGAAACGAGAGGAGTTTTTCAGTATTTTGAGGCTTAGGAGCCAGAAAGAGTGGGGAGAGGGAGAGCAGGCAGAGAGGCAGGTAAGTGAAAGAGGCAAGGAGCGAGGGAAGAACCATGCAGTGTGGTTCGAGTGGAAACCCATAGAGGTTAGAGGCCATGGAGTGCAACGCATTGGCCATTGGCAGAAGGTAAGAGGTAAGTGAGGGAGCAGATTGGGAGCAGAAGACCAAGCGTCTGCAGAATAGCAAGCGGAGCAGAGAGGAAACGGCAGGCAAAAGGAAGGCGAGAGGCAGGCGAGGAGGGGAAGAGGGGGACGGGCGGGAGGCAGGCAGGTACGGAGGAGAGGAGGGCGCAAGGCGGGTAGGCAGTGGAGGAGGGCTTGAGGCACTGACATCAGGACCCCAGCGGCGCACAAAGAAGGGCTTTGCCTTCTCTGCCTCCTCAGTCGGTGGCCCCTCCGCTTGCTGCACACACCACACCACACCGCACCGCACCGGACCAATGCACAGAGGGGGGCAAGATGCGGGAGGATAGCCGGGGAGGGGGAATTGCGGGGACGAGGAGAAGAAGGGAGGAACGGGGGGGGTGTTATTGGAGGGGGAAGAGGGGAGGAGAGAAAGGGCAGGGGAGGGGAGGGGAGGGGAGGGGAGGGGATTGGGAGAAGGGAGGGACGGGAGGGGCAGAGACGCTGAAAACGAACGTTGTGAAGGCAAGATGAGGAGATAAAGTGAAGAGCCCTGTCGCACCAGAAGCCTTGCTTGCAACACCAAACGCCTAGCAACAGCAGACAGACGCCTTGCAGGCTTATTCATCCCCGTGTCGCTTTTTCTCCCCACTCCCCCACCCAGCCCAGCCCAACCCAGCCCAACCCCCATTCCTGCCTACGCTAATCAAATAGAGCTATTTCGGGCGCGGGTTGTTGGCTGCAGCATAAGGGGAGCTTGTGTGGAGTCATTAAAGTGAATTCTCAAGAGTGCCGGGAGGAGAGTGGGCAACGCAACGCAACGCACCATGAGGGATCCGATGAAGTTGAGTATGTGACCAAAGGTTGATTTCTGTGCCAGCGCGCACATTTGCAGAGGATGCAGGCGCATGTGAGGCGGGTGGAGGCACGGAGACGCGGAGCAGAGGAGGGATGAGGGACGGGAGAGGGGCGTTGGGGGGGGTTGGGGAAGAAGGGGAGGGGAGAGTAGGTTTGAAAGGAGATAGGGCTTTGTCAATACTGCTGCTTCATGGTGAAAAGAGCCCGACTAAGATCCTGTTATAACCTGGTAGCCAGGCTTTATGGGAAGCTGTGAAGCAGCAGCAGCAGCATAGTCTGCCTCTCGCACACAGTCCCTTGTCTCTCTTTCCCCTGCCTTTCTAGCACCTGCCTCGTTCGCCCCCGCCTCTCTCTCCCCTCCCTCTCTATCCCCTCCCTCTCTCTTCCCTCCCTCTCTATCCCCTCCCTCCCCCTCCCTCTCTCTTCCCTCCCTCTCTATCCCCTCCCTCCCCCTCCCTCTCTCTTCCCTCCCGCTTCCCCTCTCTTCTCACTGTCTCCCTCCCTCCTTCCCTCACTCCCTCCCTGTCTCCCTCCCCCCTTCCCAGCCTCCCACCCTCCCTCCCTCACTCCTCCTGACCAACAACGCACCTCTTGTCTCACGAAGAACAGCATGTCATCAAACAGCGCATCCGCTTTCTTCACCTTCGCCCCTTCCCCGCTGCTGCTCCCCTCCTCTCCGTCCCCCGCGTTCGCGTCTCCCCCTTTCCCCCCCTTCCCCGCAGAATGGCCCTTCCCGTCATCTCTAACGAAATACAGATCCAGCATCTGCTGCCAATATCGACCGTCCATTAACACGGTCGCCGTATCCACGCCGTTCTCCTCCGCCCCCCCCCCCGCGCTCTGCGCCTGCCCCTGCGCCCCTTGCGCCCCCTGCGCCCCCTGCTGCGCGGGGGGGGAGCCAGCGCCTGGTTGTGCTGCGCCTGGGCGCGGAAGGGCGTCGGAATGCTTGCGCACTATGTCCAACACGTCCCGCCGCCTGCGGGGGAAGGGCGGAAGGGGGAAAGCAGTGGGGGGGAGGGAAGAAGCGGGGGGTCGCGGGCGACGGCGGGGTTGGGGGACGGAATAAGAGGAGGGAATGAGGGGATGGAGAGATGAGAGCAGGGGATCAGGGAGGAGGCTGGGGCGATCAGCATGGGGGAAAAGAAATGGCAAAATTTGTTCGAGCATAATGAAATTTCCATACAACATCCTCAATGAATGTTCTGAAGATCTCCCTATTGAAGCAGTGAAACGGAAATCAAGACAGCGCGGCGTGATGCTGCTGCCGGGTATCCCTGACTCGATCAATCCCACTCACTCACACCAACGATCATTCTTCTCACTCGTCCCGCTCTCCCTCCCGAGCAAAGGCATTACAGCCACGTCGGATCACCCGCCATCCCAACAGTCGCACCCACGGTGTTCCCAAGAGAGCGTCTTGACGCGTCCCGAGACACCCCCAACCGTATCGGACCAAACTCAACCGCACTCACGTCATCTCGGCGGGGGCCTCTGCAGCAGAGCCCATCCCCGATTCTGAGCCGTTGGCGCCGCCATTCCCCGCCGGCGCCGCCTTGCCAGCCCTGGCGGGGCACATCGCGCGTTGCGCATTGAGTAAGAGTCAGGGAACGGGTGCAGGAGAGTGGGGAGGTGGAGGGAACGGGAAGTTCGCGCGGGAAGGGGGGGGGGTTGGGGGGGGGGGGGGTGGAGACGAGGGATGGGAAGGGAGGGGGTGGAGCGGGAAGGGGAGAGGGGAACGAGAACGGGATGTTGATAACGAGACGCAGACACAATGCAATGGGATAAGGCGCGCCGTCGCACGGGGATAAGGCACGAAAACGAAGCACGCGGAGAGGAGGAAGAGGACCGTGCGACAGACTGGTGTAGCTGCGCAGTAGTGTCATGCGAGGGGCAATGCCATGCGAGGGGCAATGCCATGCGAAGGGGCAATGCCATGCGAAGGGGCAATGCCATGCGAGGGGCAGAGATAGCGACGCGAGCGCGAGATGAGGCGGAAAAATTCTAGTAGCAGCGTTTGGTTGCACCAGATGCACAGGCGGTTGCTATTCGCATGCATCTACGAAGGGTGCGTGCGTGGAGGTGTGCGTGAAAGCGCGTGCGCGGGCGTGGCGCGTGCTTTCCAATGATCAGCGAACACCAATCGCTGTTCCCCGTCATCAGCGGTCATTCCAACCACACATGCTCACGGCGCATCCGTGCAACGGAAACGATCGAGGCTCTAGCGATCGCAACTTTCCTGCCTGCTCCTACGCTACGGTATTATTTCCTGCTGCTGCTCGTAACGAGTCACGGGCAGGACCTAGACCTAGAACTGGTCAGGATGGATAGAAGTATTTGCGTGTTCTAAAATGTGCCCTAGGATCCGCTCCGCGTGCGTGTCCCTTAAAATCTGCGATAGAATTACGCGCTGCGGAAAACAATGCGGCATCAGAAGGGATCCGGAATCGAATCTGCTCTTATAGATCTTCGAAAGCAGCGTAAACAATACCTAGATGCGATGCAATGACAGAAATACCTTGGGACGAGCTCGAAATAAAGCGCGTAGGAGGGGGGAAAGAAGGAAGCGGGAAGCTTTAGCTGGAAAGGAGATGACACGTAACGATCAAAGAGTTGAGGCGATGAGAGGCAAGAGGTAAGCGGGAAAAAGCACGCACTTGGTTTTCGACTTGCGGTCATCCATGGAAGCCGCAAGGCTGGACGGCGCGGTAACAAGGTGGTAACCAGGCAGCAGACGGCTCCTGCACGTGACAAGCTGTCTCGGGGCTCGTGATTGCCGGATCCAAATTCTAACTAGTTTTGATGTTGATGCGGATGTTGAGCGCACAGAAGCAGGACCGATGGCGGGGCGACGTCAGATGTCAACATGCGGCGCCAGAAGCTCCGATAGAAATGTAAGGCAATGGTCGGGATGGAACGCGCAATAAAAATAGGTCTGGTGAGACGTTGAGCGTGAAGCAGCCGAAGCCCACCCGAGCACCGCGGAGTATCGCTAACAGCTTCGACACCGCCACCTTATCTCGTCACAACGACCAACACAATAACGGCAATCGTACGGCAAACTGCTCTGGTTTTTCTGATACCATCAGCAAGCTGAGCCTGAGATGCGGTCCTAGGGTGTTCTGCTGCTGTAGTGGAGAAAGAGGGCGAGAGAGAGAGGCAAGGGAATTGAAGGGAACACAGACGAATAAAATAAAACTCGTGGGGGGAATGTTACACGGAACGCAAGTTGGGCAGGTGAATGGAGGGCAAGCGACAGCACTCTGTACTGTACTGAACTGAAACGAGAATTTTTGCGCAAGCGGACAGAGGTGCGTACCAGGCGCACTGTAGATTTGTGTGTTCCGCGGGATCGTCGGAACCTGGAAGGACCCTGGGCTTGGCTGACGAATCGTCGAGTGGTCCTTCGCGAAGTAGGCTCAAGGGGAGGACCGCCAGTCAATAGCCGCTCGCCATGTGCCCCTTGCGAATCTCGGTTTTGCAGGCTCGCGGGGTAGGGGGAACCAGGGCGGAATAGCGCGGCTTGCTTTCCGCCCTTCTCACGGTCTCCGCAACAATGCTGGCGATAATTCAGGCGCACGCTTGAGGATGTGTGGCGGCCATGGGTGACAGTGTTGGCCCATATTGGGTTGACTCCTTGAATATCTCCTCTAGAAAATTTGGCCTTTTTACTTGATCATAAGTGTACACGTGAAAATGAAAAACGCTCTACTTAGGCTGGCGCCAGACTAATGTATCCTGGCAGATCCAATCCCAACACTGTGGCGCACAAGAAACGAGGCAAAAGCTCCTGACCCACTGCCTGATTCATTCAAGCAACGTTTCCCAAACATATGAGATGGAATGAATATACCAGAACAGCTGAGTACGCACATATAAAGAACCTCAGTTCAACCTAAGACCTCCACATCATCACACAACCTAACTACTCATCATCGTCATCATCATCAGCCTCTGCCTCCTTCAGCCACTTCACAAACGGCTCAGCCAGCTTACGAACACTTGCAGACTGTTCCTTGTCAAGCAAGTCATTTCCTCCCTTCTCGTGCCACTCCAGGATCACATCCTCTTCCAGAATATCCTCATCGTACAGAGCCTGGAAAAAAAAAAAAAAAAACAGATGAGGCAATGCCCAAATAAAAATTAACAGACGAGTTCCAGCACTAACACTTGTGAATGTAACGAGTTCTCACCTTTAAGACAAGGGCGATCTCCTTGCTAGCATCTCCCGCCTTGACGGCAAAGAAAAACTCCATAGCAAACAGAAGCAGCTTTTGCTTCTCCTCGTCTTCATTAACGATGGCGGCGAACACGGCCTTCTTCTTAACGAACTCCTTCATGAAGCCCTTGGAGATCCCGTGCATCATGGCCTCGATCAGCGCAGCAAGAAGATCCTTGGTAACCGTCATCTTGAGCACGTGGTTGGCTACCTCGGCCAGCTTGTGGGTCTTGATGTAGTCGCTCAGCTCGGAAACCAGGACCTGATGCGGATCAGGCTTCTCCTCCACCTTGCCATTCGTCTTCGACACGTGGCCGTTCTGCTGGGGACTCTTCACCTCCTTTTCATCAGTAGACACCATCACCATCTCGGCCGTCACCGCACTCAACTGCTCCTGAATGCGTTTCTTCGCTGCCTCAGCCGAAGTGTCAGTCTGCCACTCGACGTCGTCATCATCATCTTCCTCCTCATCCTTGTTGCTCGAAGCCGGAGACTCCACCTTCTCTTCGTCCTCGGCCTTCTTCTTAGAGCTCTTCTTTGTTGAGCTCTTCTCTCCATCCTTAGATTTCTTTCCCTTAGACTTCTTCTCCTCGTCAAGAGCTTCACCAGCTTTCAGGCGCTCCTTCTCCGCACGCCTCATGGTCTTCGAAGCCTTCTTCTTGACCTCTGGAGGATTGTTGAGGATGAACGTGGTAAGCTTGTCCCGCATGTCGACATCCGAGACAAAGCCGCACGCAGCACACTTGAGCGTAATCATCTGGTTCTTGGTGATGATGACCTCGGTTTCCGGATTGCCGCAGCCGTAACACTGGACGTACTTCTTGATGAAACCTTCAAGGAGCTGAACCAGCTTCGTGGTGTCGTGCGCGCCGTTCACGGTAGAAGTGCCCGTCTTCGCATCAAATTTCGACTGCGCTCCCAGCACGCAACCGAAGTACTTAGTGGTGTACGAAGGAGGACGTGCAAGAGCTTTGGCAACATCGACCATGTTCACAACATTGGTCTTGATGCCGTTACCACGTCCCTCAATCTTCGTAATCAGCTTGGGCATCTTGTAGCGATAGAAGCCATCGTCCTTGTTGTCCTGACCGATGTTAACGAGAGCCATGATGTCGCTTCACGTAACGATTTAAGAACTCGACGAGTGGATGATTAAGAAGCAGGCAGCAAGCACCGCACGGAACCACCACGAAGCTGGTAACGCTTTTCAGGAACAACCGAAACAGAGGAGTATGAGATCAGCTCCTTCTTTCTCGGAGGAGAACCAGCATGCCGTTTCCTTGTCGTAAAAAAATACTCTGCGGGCAGGCCTGCCGACCTGAGAACAGCAAAGGTGTCAACAGACATAAAAAAACACTGGAACTTGGAAGTCTCCACCTTGGATGGGTGGGCCGACAGCTTTCTAAACAGCAACGCTGACAAACCCGGCGTCCAGATCTATTGGGAGACGAGCAGGCAAAGGCAGAATATGCTTGCGGTAGACAACGGAAGCAGCCACAGAAATGAGTACTACAACAGCTAATTGAAAGTTTGAGCTCCGAGAAGATTAGAAACCCTTGGCCAGAGAAGAGGTGTGATGGGTTGGTCCGTTAGGGTGTGGGAAAGGGATCACAACTACGGGTGAGTTGAGTACAATTCTGCAGTCGTCAATCATAAAAAGGGACGGGATGGATGGATGGAAGGGTTGAGTGGTTCTTGCTAGAACATTTTCAATCTCCAGGTGGCACTGGCAGTGGTGAACCACCATTCACGTTTCATGCTTGGTTCCTTCGCCACGCGAAATGGAAATTTGGAACTGCCCGGCATTGGAGAAGCTTCTTGCGTTGCGTGATGCCCACTCCACATCATTGGAGCGAGTGTTGGAGAAATTTCATTGCGTGCTGCCGAATCTGCCCGGTATTCGTTTTCCTGCCAGCCGAGGAGGCCACAGCAATATGCAACTCTCCATCCACCATGCAGTGCAGACCCCTGTCGCCACACCACTCAGATTCATTCGGGCTCGTCGTGGAACCCCATGCCACAGAAGCATTTGCTCTAGGTTCGTTTCTGCGAAACGGGTCAACAGGTCTTGATAGAAAAAATGGAACCTCGACAGTCCAAACGAGCACAAGCGAGCCTTCACGAAGATGATTGTAACTAAAACATATTGAGAAAGCTTGCTTTCTTATTCTTATCAATTGGCATCGTTCTCATTACAATCATTCTCATTACAAATGGCTTATTACAACATTTGCATCAACGTTGAGCACAAGCTAGTGCAATCGAGTAACACTAGCTAAGATGTACCCTATCCAAGTGGCATTAGCAAGGCGGTTTGCTCTGGGGTGGGTGGTGGGAATGTTGAGTGAGCCGTTGGAAAATCGAGAAACATGGGTGGAGGGGAATGAACTCCAACCCACGGTTTTTGTAGTTGGAGAAGGGCGTTTAGCGCGCTTCGACGATGCCAATTGTGCAGTACAAGCAGCTTCGCTTTCACAATACAAAATTTAAAAAAAAACACAATGTGTGTTTAAAAATTATAATATTTAGAGCACTTCCTCATGCTTGATGCTGAGCATGCTTCACCATGCTTGATGCTCTAGATTCGGGAAAACATCCATCACCATGCTTGATGCTCTAGATTCAGGAAGACATATTTTTAGAATACTTACTTATGTATTAATATTACTTTATTACTGTGATTGAAATCAATGTTATTAGTCGCAACTCTCAGCTAACAAACATAGGTTTTGTATTATATGTAGGAGCAATGAGTATGCATTGGTGTTGGCACTACTACTGTAGAGGACACTGAGCTGCGCCCCAGCGAAGGTGGCCGAAGCGAAACTGCCTGGTGTCAGGGGTGGTGCTCCTGGCATGGATGGAGTCGCCATGAGCAGCCTGGATAACAGCCTGTCCAGCCTAGCCAGCTCCCCCACACTGCTCTCTCACCTGATCCGACCCGACCCGCAGCAGCGCGTCGGCAAGTTTCGCCAGGTCTCAAGGGATGTTCGCCCAAATGAAGAGGGGTGACCGGCGGCCATCTAGTCACCCCACGGAAAACAGTGCGGGCAGGGGCGGAAATATTATTGAAGCAAGGGCGTCCGTCCGTCCATCCAGTTCACTTGAGAAGAACCTGCGCTGCCGAGGAACGCACCACCACAGCAATAACATGGTTGTGTGGCGGCAGGTATGGCTGTAACTTTAGTTACTCAGGTGGCCTAGCAAATTCGCTGCAAGCCATTGCACGCCGATAGTGCACACACGTGTTGGATTCAACCATCCATCACCTCCAAATCCCATCACTATCTCCTTGCAACGTACCCGCACTCCGCTGTGCTCGTGTGCTTGCTGGCCCGCCTGTATTACTCCCTCCCGTCAAAAGCTGCTGCTTCCTCTTCAATTAAACCCGAGTCCACCAATTTCTTTGTAGTCCACCAGAAATTTGCAGACTTATGCACTTCGCAACTCCACTATGTATTATCGATAGCTACTCCATGGCTCCAGTTTTCACATTGACAGAACGCGATATTTTCCAGACCACTTATTTGCGAACCGACGAACAAGGCTCAGCTGCCTGCACCTCCTCTCGCATCCTCGTTTGACTGACGCATGCGATGGCGAGTACCAGCACCGCTGCGATAGTAGCATCCCCGTTAGACGCGCTAGACGCTCAAGCCATGCTTACTCACTCCGGCAGGTGCGCCAGCGGGGTGGTTGGTTCCTCAGCCGCGTGCTGTAGCAGCTGTAGCATACGTAGCATACATAGCGTCCGTACCGTCGAACACGTCAGCAGCGCCCAGCTAGCTCACACCAGCGAATTAGCAACTGGCACGTTGACGTCGGCATGCTGCGAACAACGCTCCGAGTCAAGCGGCATGGAGGCACGTAGCCAAGCTATCGCAGCGCGAACCATGCGACGGCGCTACGATTTCCGGGAACATCGCAGCAGCTACCGCACCGCGCGCATGCCCGTTACTGTCACATCCGGGTGGTTTGCACTGCTACATCTGCTAGTGCTCTTTTCAATATTAATCCCTCAGGTCGCGTTCGCTAGAACGACCGCCGCCGTTGATAATACTGGTCCCACGGCGAGTGGCGATGCGGCTGGCGAGGGTGGAACCGGGAGAAGCGGGGCGGGTAACGGCACGGGGAGCGGCAAGTCGAGCCACCCAAACATCATGGCGTATCATATGGCGCATATGATCTGTACGTCTCGAGTAACTTACATTCCGAACTCTGAACTGTCTTCCAGGTTTGGCCCAATCTGTATGCCGACTTAACTTCGGCCCTTTCCCATCTCCCCCGCCTCTTCCTTCTTCCGCCCTTTCCATTCGCCCGTTCCTTCCGCCCCCTCCTTCCTCCGACTCCTTCCCTGCCAGCCAATCTTCTCCAGAATCCCAGTTTCGAGGCCCCAACCTTCCCCACGCAACCCCCGCATTGGCGCGCGTGGGGACGAGTTGCCCACATTTGCCCGGCTTCCGCTCCCCCGCCCGCCTCCCTCGCGGAGGCGGCGGAAGCCGCCGCAACCACCGCGCCTTTTCACGGCGCGTGCGCGCTCGAGATTGCGGGGTGCGACGCCGGGAATGCTGGCAAGGGGGGGAGCGGGAAACGCGGGTGCAGCTGGGGGGGTGTGTCGCAGCGCGTTCCTACTCGTCGCGGAACGCGCTACCGACTGACTTTCTTCTTTGCTGCCCGGGCCGCCCGGCAGCGGTCCGTCAATCTGCGCGTGCGGTTCGGGGGGGAGAGGGCGCGGTTCGCGCTGCCGGCGGCGGCCGCGACGGCCGTGGCGCGCGGAGCGGCGCCGTCGGTGCTGGGGGGCTGGAGCATGGGGTCGGTGGATTACGTAGCGGAAAACGCGACGACGGTGGTGAAATTCGTCGTCGCCATGGCGGATAACAGCACCGTGATTGACGGCGTCTCAGTCGTTGCTCTTCCGAAAATAGCGAGTAAGAGGTTACGAACGGGGTGATGGGGGAGCTATGGGGTGAGTAGAAGCGCGACGATGGAGGAGTCTTGTCGAGTCATGTTCCTTCAGCTCACGCCTTTCCTCTGTTTCCCCATCCATCCCCCATCTTCCCTCCTCCCCCCCCCCTCCCACATCCCCTCCCCTCACTGCCCTCCCCCCTTCCCCCTCCCCCCTCCACCTACACACCGCTATTCTCCGCCACTCCCGGGCCAACAGACCCCCGCCACCCGCGCATCATGCGCTTCTCCCTTCCGCCACCCGCCCCCGTTGCCCCGCCGCCCCTGCTCCTCTCCGCCTTCGCCTCCGCCAACTCCGCCAACATCACCCTCACCCCCATCGTCCCCGCGCCTGGCGCAGCGCTCGACGCGCCCAAAGCTTCCCCCAACGCCGCGCTTCCGCCGCCCGCGCGTTCCCCGCATCTCGTCACCACGGGCGGAGCGTTCTTCCCCACGCCCCAGCAGCTTATCCTCAAAGACCCCTCCGCGGGCCTCTGCGCCTCGCGCTCGTTTCTCACCGCCTTCACCTTCTCCGCCACGCGCGCGCCCTTTCGCGCTTCCGCGGACGAGGGCGGGGCAGGGGGAGCGGGGGGCGCGGGGCCCGCGGAAGGGCTTGAGAAGGCAGCAGGGAAGGGCCCGCGCGCGGGGAAAGTCGCGGGCGGGGGAGGGGCGCTAGGGGGAGTGGGAGGGCGGGGAGGAGCAGGGAGAGTGGCAGGGCCAGGGGGGGGAGGGTTTCACGCGCTTATAGGGGGGTTCGCGTTTGTTATATCGGGGCAGCCTACAGCAGGGGGGGGAGGGCCTGCGTTAGGGTTTGGGCATGCGTGCGCTCCTGCTGTGCCTGATGGGGAGTTTCTAGCAGGGGAAGGGGGGGATGCAGAGGCAGAGACCACAATCACCAGCAGCAGCAGTAGCAGTAGCAGTAGCAGTAGCAGTAGCAGTAGCAGTAGCAGCAGCGGGTGGGTGGACAGCAGTGGCACAGACCCGGCACTGACAGCGTGTCAGCACGGGGTAGTGATCACCTTTGCCAGCTGGCAGGACAATCCCGAGGAGCAGGCAGCAGCAGCAGGCACAGCACTGAAAGCACCCCCAAGAGAGTACGTAGGCGTGCGTGTAGGCAGCACCATGAAGTCCCTTGTCGCGTCCAATGCTGCTTTCGTCCTACCTCCACCTGCAAATCCTGCTGCTGCTTCTTCTGCTGCTACCGAACCTGCCGCCGCCGCCGGTGCTGGTAGTAATAGTAGCAGGCTCGTGGACGGGTCATCACACAACGTGTGGGTGGAGCACTGCGCGTCGTCGCACACTCTCTCTGTGAGCTTCACACGCCCCCGCGCCACAGCGCACCAGTGCCCGCTGGCCTTCGAAGCAGAGCAGCAGAGGGAGTGGGAGCGGCGGCAGGGCCGGCAGGTGCAGCACTCACGCATTCTCACCGTGCAGTTAGACCTGTGTGATGCGCTAGGGGGTTACAACCGCTGGGGCGGCGGGAGCGGGAGCGGGAGTGTCCGGAGTGGTGGTGGTGACAGGAGCGGTGGGAGGGTGGGGCAGGAGGTGGATGAGGAGCCGGTGTTTGTGGGGTTCAGTGGGAGTGGGCGCGGTGTGGAGTATGTTGTCAGTAAATGGTCTTTCAGAGGTGCGGCGCTGCTTGATGCTTGCTGCTGCTTGCTGATTCTGCTCTTCTTGCGCTCACTCGTAGACACAGTTGCATGCATGTGTACACACACAGATATGCGACCGCATACACACACACACACACTCACACACACTCACACACACACCCACACACACACACACACACACACACTCGCATGTTCCTATGCACCTTACGCACAATCCAACACCATCGCCAATCCAATCAGCCCCCCTCACTCCCTCCCACTCTCTCACAAACCCTCTTCCCTGCAGAGCTGGGTTCGCCACCAGTATTCGATACAGCAGCAGCATCCGTCCCATGGACCCCCGACTCCTCCTCGTCCTCCTCCTCCGCGCTCTCCCCGCTCCTCATTGCCATCATCGTGGTCTCCTCAGTGGCTGCCCTCGTTGCTGTGCTGGCCGCTTTCGCTCACTTCAGGCGCCACCCACTAGGTACGCCCGCCCTACAGCCGTGTTGGTGTTGCATTCGAGAGATTTTGTGAATGATCGAACGCAGCTCGGTGGCTGCTCTCGCTGATGTGCTCGCTGCCTCTGCTCTGTTCAGGCGCCACCCATTAGCTACGCTACGCCCTACAGCCGGTCTTGCTTATAAGCAGAGAACACCTTCGTGCTCTACTTACTTCCCCCTATGAGCAGAGCACACCTTGCCCTCCCCTTGCTCTCCCCTTGCCCTCCCCTTACCCTCCCCTTGCTCTCCCCTTGCCCTCCCCTTGCCCTCTCCTTGCCCTCCCCTTGCCCTCTCCCCAACCACCATCCCAGGAGCATTTTGAATCTTGGCATACAACGACCAACTCATCTCCGCGCCAATCCCCTTTTCCTTTCTCTCCACCATTCCTCCTTAAACCCCACTCCCCATGCCCGCCCCGCTCCCACCACACCAAACAAAATCCCCAGGAGCATCTCGAATCATGGCGCGACTTTTGAGGCACCTCCAAAGTCGAATCATGGTGCGACTTTTGAGGCGCCTCCAAAGCCGAATCATGGCGCGACGCACAGCATGACGAGCCCATCTCCACTTGTTTCGCAGGTCGCTTTGTTCTTTAGATTTCTCCAAAGCGACACACCACCCCCACACCACCCCTTGCCCTCCCCTCCCCCCCACACCACCCCTTGCCCTCCCCTCCCCTCCACACCAACCCCAGGAGCATCCCGGATCATGGCATACGATGAGCTCATCTCCACTCCCACCACCTCCTCCGCCTCCATCTTCCCCTCCTTTTCCTCCGCCTCCTCCACCTCCTCTTCCTCCGCCTCCTCCTCCCGCGCGCACCGCTCCTCCCCTTTCTGCCGCCGCTTCCGGCTAGAGGACCTAAAGCGCGCCACGCACCGCTTCGACCTGCGCCGCCGCTTGCACAAGGACGGGCATGGAGGCGCCTATGGCTCGGTGTTCCGAGCCGACTCCCGCCTTATCGCCGAACCTGACTCCCGGAGGCTCGACGACGGGAGAGGGTCGGCAGGGGGTGGGGTGGGGGCGCGGGGGAGAGGAATGGGGGAGAAGGGCGGAGGGGGAGGGGGAGGCGGGGCGGAGTGGGCTGTTAAGCGGTATGGGCGGTTTAGCTGGAGGGTGGGGGATAGGGGGAGGAGTTTTGAGGAGGAGGTGGAGGCATATGCGCGGCATGGGCATGTGCACTTGGTGCCAGTGGTGGGGTACTGCTGTGAGGGCCATGAGCACATGGTGGTGTATCAGATGCTGCCACATGGGTCCCTACGAGACAACCTGCACGCTCCCTGCGGTGAGACTGACTTCAGAGCCCTCTCCACATGTTGTTGTTGCTAGTATGTGGTAGCCTGCACGCTCCCTGCACGCCCCTCGCATCTGCCCATCTGACCTGCCTCCTTACTATCTGTATCCCTCCTTCTGCTTGCCTGCCTGTGCGTGCTGCATGTGTGCATGTGTGTCTACCTGCACACCTACATGACACTCACATCCGTGTGCGCACATCTGCATGTCTGTCACACACATGCAGATTCACCCAAGTCTATGGAGCATCGGTTGTGCATAGCAGTGGGCGTGGCGGAGGGACTAGCATTTCTTAGTTGACTCAAAACTCTGTGTGCGCGCACCTGTCTGTCACACACATGCAGATTCACCCATGTCTATGGAGCAGCGCCTGCGCATAGCAGTGGGAGTGGCGGAGGGACTAGCGTTCATGCACCAGCAGCACCCGCCACTCATCCACCGCAACCTCAAGCCATCCAACATCATGCTCACGCCCTCGCTGCAGGTATGGGCGTGCATGCTCACACCCTTTTCTCAATTTGTTTGTTGCTTTATTTTAGTATATATATTTTTATTTTATTCTATTTGTTATTACTTGTGATTCTGTAGCATCGCCCCAAGCCACCCAGCATAATGTTAACAGGTATGTCTTGTGAGCATGATAGGTTGAACACTTGAGAGTTCTCCTCGAGAGCTATGCCACTCTGCAGGTGTGCTCACGGGTGTATGACCCTTCCTCACTTGCTCCCTTGTCCCCTTGCACCCTGCCTTGCCGTCCACCTCCCCTCCCGTCGCCCCACCAGCCGCAAATCGGCGACTTTTGTTTCGTCCATCACGACGGGGAGGGGCGTATCAACGCGGTACCGGAGGCAGTGCAGCAGGAGGGGTATCGGGACCCTGCCATTGCTGACCTGCACCTGCCCACTCAGGCCCTCACCCCACAGCACACCGATGTGTACAGGTGGGGACAGGGAGAGAGCACACTATGTGTGAGTGAGTGGACTAGGAACGGTGCAGCAGGAAGGGTATTGAGACCCCGCCATTGCTAATCTACACCTACCCACTAAGGCCCACACAGGCCTCTCCCCACCTGTGCACTGATGTGTACAGGTGGGATGTGGAAGGGTAGGAGGGTGGGGATGGGGAGAGGTGAGAGGTGTTGCTGGCTTGCTTCTGATCGTTGGCACGCAATGTGTGAGGTGTGGACTTTTTGAGAAGTTATCCCTCTCGCCTCCCTTCCCTCCCCTTCCATCCTTTCTCCATGTGCTTTCCACTAACCCCCCCTGCTCGCCCACTCCTCAGCTTCGCAGTGATCCTGCTTGAGCTGCTAACAGGGCGACTTCTGAAATGTCCCAAATGTTCTTCCCCCTATCCCCCCCCGCAATCCCCCTCACTCACTCCCCAGCTTCGGGGTGATTCTGCTGGAGCTGCTGACAGGGCGACTGGCAGTGGTGCCAGACCCAGAGAACCCATCCGAGCTCATGGTCATCACCGACTGGGTCAGTCGCTTTTTGAGACGCCTCAAAAGTCGTCAGTTGCTTTGCCCTTGTTTTGAGAACCCCTCCGAGCTTGGACAAAGAGCCATTATTTTTAGCCAGTGTTTGTCCAACAAAGGGTCATCACCCCTCCAAGCTCATGGTCATTACCGACCTCCACCTTACATGGGTCGGTGCCTTTCTTTGCCCCCTCACCTCTCCTCCTTTACCTTCACGTTCACCTCGCAACTGCCTCGATTGCTTCGCTCCCACCTGCGCTTCCACCCATGGTCCTATCGACAGTATCCGCCCTCTTTCAGCCACTTCAGCCATCTCATCCCTCCCATCCCTCCCTCCCATCCCTCCCTCCCACCCCTCCCTCCCACCCCTCCCTCCCACCCCTCCCTCCCACCCCTCCCTCCCACTTCTCCCTCCCATCCCTCCCTCCCATCCCTCCCTCCCATCCCTCCCTCCCATCCCTCCCTCCCATCCCTCGCTCCCATCCCTCCCTCCCACCCCTCCCTCCCACCCCTCCCTCCCATCCCTCCCTCCCACCCCTCCCTCCCACCCCTCCCTCCCACCCCTCCCTCCCATCCCTCCCTCCCATCCCTCCCTCCCATGCCTCCTTCCCATCCCTCCTTCCCATCCAATCCTCCCCACACACAACAGGCGGTGCACTACATAGCAGAGGGGGAGGTGCACCTAATCATTGACCCCCGGGTCTTCTCCCCAGATCTCACCCCCGCCTTCCAAACCCTCGGGGAAATCGCCTCTGCCTGCGTCGCCGCCCCTGCTGCCGCCCGCCCGACCATGGATGACGTGGCGCGGCAGCTTGCTGACGTGTACGCGGAGTATTTTCAAGGAGAGGGGGAGGGAGAGGGTGTGATGGAGGGAGGAATGATTGATGTATCACAACAACCAGAGGTGTAGAGCAGGTTGTGGTGGTTTGTCAACTGATTTCCAGTTATGGTTTTCACAACTACCAAATGCATAGGTGATTCTGTACATGATGTATAGATGTTGCCTGTAGGCTGTAGCTCTTGTAGTTATGTATGAGCCAAATACCGAACTGTAAAAGAGCAAAATAGCAAAACACCGCGAACAGAACAGAACTTCGGCCTTGTTTCCTTTATTACGTTCGCGACAGGCCGAACAGGTCTGTCATCGAACCGGTTCGGCGGTTTGGCCTGTCTTAGTGAAAGGGCGGATACAAAATCATACAAGCAGGCTGGATGTGAATGCATGTGTGTATTCCCTCAGGGTTTCTAACATGTTATCATCTCACCCATCCATACCCACACACAAAATCTCAGGCACCATCCGCACCTTACATGCACAGCTAACGATACACCTTATAAAACAGTAATATAGATTCTCAATACACTTCGTAGAACAAATACCGTAACTTTTTCTGGTGAAATCAACCTCTACCTATTACCAGTACTGACCTGACCCTAAGACTTCTCAAGCTGAACCACCAGGCCATGCCCCAAAGGAACAAGCCAGCTACATACGGAACTACTGGTAACGACAGCCAAGGTCAGTTCGGGCCTTGGAAGGGGGCTGAGTGGGTATAAGCAGAGCAATACATGAAGACTACAATTAGGTGTAAGAATCAGCGAGCAGCGGGCGGGCACATTGGTGAGCAATCGAGCCAGCGGGTGAGTGAGTGAAGAGTGAGTGAGTGAGTGAGCGGGTGAGTGAGTGAGTGAGTGAGCGGGTGAGTGAGTGAGTGAGTGAGTGGTCACATGAACAAGTGATTGAGAGGCTATGCGTCCTGCTGCCAGCAGCTGCCTGCCCCGGACATTCAATCAGCAGCGCAGCAGCTGACTTGCATGCAGAAAAACGGTGGGTGCAGCATCACAGCTCGTTTCCATTGTCTGTGTGCACTCTCGAGTACTGAAAGTTGCCAGGATGGAATGATGTTCTTGGTTGCTGATAGGAGGAAACGGGTTGGGATGGGATGGTATGGGATGGGATGGGATGGGATGGGATGGGATGGGATGGGATGGGATGGGATGGGATGGGATGGGATGGGATGAAATGGGTTGGGATGGGATGGGATGGGATGGGATGGGATGGGATGGGATGGGATGGGATGGGATGGGATGGGATGGGATGGGATGGGATGGGATGGGATGGGATGGGATGGGATGGGATGGGATGGGATGGGATGGGTTGGGTTGGGATGAAATGGGATGGGATGGGCTGGGATGGGATGGGATGGGCTGGGCTGGCATGGGATGGGTTGGCATGGATAGGGAGCAGAGAAGTTTTATATGCCTGAGAAAAAACACAAGTGACATAGGCAAGCCTCTCAAGCCTCTCCCTTGCCTCCCTTGACGTCACCCTCTCACATGTGCACTCACACTCACACTCTCACTCACACACGAGCGCGAGCACGGTTTTATTTTCCACTCCCTTTCCAATCCACCCCACCCCCTCCCTCTCCCCCCTCTCACTCCCACTCTCCTCCCACACCCTTCCCCTTCCAGCACTCTTCCGTCCCACGCTCTCTGCTTCCCCTGACCCAATCCACTCACCTGCAAGCCCATGCCTCCTCCACCAACATTCTCCCTCCCAGGACCTCTTTCCTCCACTATCCTCTCCCTGCCATCCACCTCCTGCCGCAGCTGCTGCAGCTGCCTGCGGCTCCTCTCCTGCTCCTTCTCTGGCCGCCCCCTCCTCTGCTTCAGCCGCCGCCGTGCCACGTCCTCTGACAGAATCTCGTCACTCTCATCCTGGAGAGTGATAAGTGAAGGAGATCACGAAGGGAGAAAGAGATCGCGAAGGGAGAAGGAGAGCGCAACATAGGGAGAAGGAAGAGACCAAAACAATGGAAAGGGAGGGAGGGTGCAAATATGAAACGGAGAGAGGGTAGCCAAAAGTCGGGAGGCAGGGAGGGAGGAGCAGGGAGGAGCAGGGAGGAGCAGGGCGGAGCAGGGCGGAGCAGGGAGGAGCAGGGCGGAGCAGGGAGGAGCAGGGCGGAGCAGGGCGGAGCAGGGAGGAGCAGGGCGGAGCAGGGCGGAGCAGGGCGGAGACGGTGCGTGCGTGGTCAGCCAAAACGAACGAAACGAGGCAAACAATGCAGCAAGGCAGCAGGAGAGAGAGACACGTGGTGCAAGAAGAAGCGTACCTGGTTGAGAGCAAAGGGGTGCCTTCTGGGAATGAAGCGCACTGTCATGGGATCGACTCCATCTGGCACAGGATCTCCCTCCACCAGCACCACCTGCAGGGCGGGGGGGAGCGAGGTCGTGTGGTGATTCTTAAGGTGCCTCGGAAACTTCTGTCAGCGCATCACAGAAATGCCTTTGGGGAAAGGAGCAAGAGGGAGGAGAAGGGGAAGGGTGGAAATACGACAAACCAGAAACACAGAAAGAGGGTTTTCCGCACCTGTGGTTTCTTCCATCCGTGCTCCTTCTGCCGCTGCTGCCTGTGAAATTCCATCTTCTCAGCAGTGAGAGGCGGTAGTGGCTCCATCTGAACCAGCATCGTGTTGCCCACGCGATAATTCAGCACTGATGTGGGGTCATCATACTGCGATATCACGTTCAACCTGGGATTGGACGAGCGGGGAAAGGTTGGGAGGAATTGAAAAGGGTTGAGGGGCGGTAGTGGCTCCATTTGTACCAACATCGTGTTGCCCACACGATAGTTGACCACCGATGTGGGGTCCTCCTCATACTGCGATATCACGTTCAGCCTGGGATGGGACGGGTTGGGAAGGGTTGGGAGGAGTCGGAAAGGGTTGGGAAGCATGAGAAACGGTTCGGAACCATAAACCGTGTAAATTGGGGATGGGATAGGTTTGCAAGCCAGGAATTGCAGACAAGCCAGAAAGGTATACGAACTGAGCGGAGCAATGACAATGAATCAAGTCACGTACGGCTCGCTTCTATCCGAAGAAACGAATCCTCTTCTAGTAAGAAAGTCCACGCTCCTCTCCCTCCCTCCTCCCCTCAACCGCTGCACGTAGGCCGCTGCAGCAGCAGCTAGCACGAGCAGCAGCGAGCCCCCCCCTGCTGCGAGTGCCCATGGGGAAACTGAGGCCCGCAAGCCTGCTCGATGGCTTGTGACGGACTGCTTGCCGTAAGAAAGGAAGGACGAAGGGAAGAGATGTTTGGAAGACACAAGGACCGGATGGGGGACCCGGGGACAGAAACGGAGAATGAAAAGATTGGTTGAGCTTCATACAGAGCGGGCTTAATCTGAAATAAAACGAGTCTTTTGAGGACGTAAAAATAGCCTACGGAAGGTAAGACACTGACACGGAAAAACTTCAAACACCGGAGAAGCAGTTGTGCACAGCAGTGTCACTCACAGGCGCTGCAGCTTGCTCAGCCGTCAATCTCTGTCCACCTCTGCTTGTCTGGGCCTGTCGTCCGTCCGATGCAATCCCAGCGGATACTGGCGCGCTTGCCACACCTTTCCGTGTCTCGCTCAGCCGAACAGAGCCGTGCCTCGCGGATGACTGGCTGCTAACTACCACGTCAACATACACTCCTTCCCGCGTTCCCCGCTCTTGCTGCCGATGTTGTTGCGGCCCCTGCTGGTGCTGCTGGTGCGGTTGGGTGCTTCTAACGGGTTCCGTCCGGCGAGAAGTGCGGCGGAAACGCGCGCGAGCGGAGACCGGGGGGAGGGGTGCGTGGCGCGGAAGCGCATGATGCTCGACCTTGCTGTGTGCGGAGGATAGGACGTGATTGGGAGATGGCAGCGATGATGGTGATGAAGACGATGATGATGAGAGCGGTAGGAAAGGAGAAGACATGAGGCCAGTGATCGTGGAGCGAGAGCGGAGAAACGTCGACGGCTGGATGTGCATGATGGAGGAATATCTGGCGATGGAGGAATATCTGGCGGTGGAAGATGACGATCTGACGGCCCACGATGTGCAAGTGCTGCTCATGATGCCTGCGACTGGAGGTGCTGCCTGGTGATGCTGCCTGCGACTGGTAATTCTGCCTGCGACCGGTGATGCTGTCTGCGACCGGTGATGTTGCAGGCGCCGGTGACGTTGCCGGCGATGATGCCGTTAACAGTATACAATAAAAGTGTGAGATATGGGGCCTAGTAGAAGGTGATGTGAGGAGATTAGGACGAAGAACTGATATTAACAGTGTTAAGTATCGTGTCAGTCGTTCGGTGGTGACGAGGAACAGACACGGGCAAAAAAGCCATCAGTGGAGCAACAACAGGGTTATACTTGAACCTTAAAAACGACAACGGTACGAATGATGGGCGAAGTACAATAGTGATCTAACGTCCAACGTTTCAAAACGCTTTGTCTGACTGGAGTATGCGAGTGAACTAAAGTGACAAGCAGGGAGCCAGTCCACTAATAGACTTCTAATAGACCTAGAAATTAGTCCTAGACTGCTGTGAGTGAAGCTGACGAGACGAGGAGTGCAGTACTGTGTCATTGCCTTGTCGTTCCAACCTAGGTTCTACCCGCTTGCGCTTGCATTGCAACATCGTTCGCGAAAGCTGCGAAACACACCTGTTACGATGCATTCCCGAAAAACAACCCATGCAATCAAGAATACCGTTTACATTCTTTTGATTGATGGTGCACACCCAATTCTATATTATTCATAAACAATGCCTCCCTCGGGGTTCAGTGTCCCTAGATCCCGCTGATTTCTGTCACTGTTGTTCTTGACATTGCTGGACACTTACCCGTCTCCCCCTGGATATACCCCCATGGGGGGCAATAATAAAACAGGTTTTTTCATGGGGGTGGGCTTATAATCGAGTAAATTTATAAGCGCCGGCGTTTATAAAATGACATACATATTTTTTTATATCTTTTAACACCAAACTGTAGGTCTCGTACTTGCCTTTTCAATCGAGTCGAAGTTACATGGGATCGTCTGTGAAATTCTCGCGCGCGCTTGGAGATACACCCAATCTGACTCACATCCAGCTCCTGACAGGTCCTGCTGACTAGACCCGCATCCAGTGCAGGGTCCGAATGTGAAGGGAACCGAATCTGCAACATATCCGCCTGCTAAAGTAAAAATCGTTACAGCTTTTTGAACACATTTCAAAATTTAAAGTTTACGTGCGCTTATAATAAAACAAGTTTTTTCAAGGGGTGCGCTTATAATCGAAGAGGGGATATAAGCGCCATATGCCAATTAGAAGCGCCAGGCGCTTATCCTAGGGTGGCGCTTATATCCGGGGGGAGACGGTATCTGTCCATTTGTCATCGCATCGCAATATTCAATTGTCCAGTCGTCTCCTCTCCCTACATACTGGGCAGATTTTTCCGCTGCACGGTGCGCTCGGCGTTTTATTAGTAGTGCCGATCGTCGTTTCCATCTGACCGTTCTATCCCTGCAGACCTTCTCTTCTGGATTTCTCGCTAGTCTGTATGGAGTCTTCTCATTACGAGCGTAGCCACTCCTCAACTACACAATCTAGCGTCCGCGCGCCAGTCTCGCCGAGCCCAAGCCTCTGTAGCGCGCTTCGGTTGTAAGGGAAGGAATAGCGAAGCGTGTCACAAAGTAGGAAACGAGAAAAAAGTGACTAGAAACAAGACAGTACAAGCTTTGTATAGGCAAAACCTCACAGTACTGTACCCCATAAGGAGTGCCCCGCTACGGCCTACAATATAGTTCTGACACACCCCCATGGGCCAAGTGGGGGACAAGCAAAAGATGAATGCAAAGGTCAAGCTCAGGGTGGATCACGACGTCACCACGCATTCTGAGCACAAGCAAAAGGCCACAAGGCCAGTTCACATGCAAAGTTTTATAAAGAGGAGAACAAGTAGTACAGTGATCACAACCTAGCAAGTATAAGCATGCAGGTGCAGGTATATATAGATCACAGTAAAAGCAAATTCAAGAGGTGAGCAAGTGAAGCCAAATAGGCACAAGACCAAACAGAGTACAAAAACGCTGATGATCACAACGCTGAACTGCCTTGGTAAAGATTTCAGCAGTGTTGGCCCGAGTGGCCATGTAAGCAAGACGAAGCAAACCATGCTGCTGCAACTCTCGAGCAAGGAAGTAGCGCAGAGCAATGTGCTTCATTCTGTGCTCCAGTTTGTGCTCCTCAGACAAGGCAATCATGGCCTTGTTGTCAACGTACAGAACTGGAGGAGAACGAAGCACCTCTCCCAAGTCGGTCAGCAGGTAGGTAAGCCAACATAACTCCTGTGCAGCCATGGGCCCAGCGTATATCTCAACCCCACAACTGGAGCAGAGAACAGAAGACGAGCAAGTAGACCGCCACGAAACAGAGCCGGAACCAAGGCTGAAGGTGTAACCCTGTGACGACCGCTGCGTAGCCAAGTCGTCAACCCAAGAAGCGTCTGCGTGACCAGTGAGGACAACTCGAGCCCGTCCTCCAAGCACGAGCCCCATGCCTGACGTACTGCACAAGTAGCGCAACACCCTCTCAGCTGCATCCATGTGCTCTGGTCGGTGTCTCCCAGGAGCAACATAGCGTGCCAGGATGCTAAGAGGGTATGCCAGGTTAGGTCGAGTGCAGGTAATCAGGTACATGAGGCAGCCCACTAGCTCTGGGTACGGGCCACTCGACTCTACGGACTTATCCGAAGGCAAAGCTGAGAGCGAGTGGCTAGTAGACAGAGGAGTGGCCTGAGGTGAGGAGTACGTGAAGTTGAAGCGCTAAAGGACCTGCTGCACCATGTGTGACTGAATCAAGGTAATGGTGCGCCGTGCTCTGTCCCGGGTGATCTGCAAGCCAAGATAGCTGCGCAGCTCACCCAGGTCTGTGCACGTGTGTCTCTTCCGCAGCTCCGTCTTCACGTGGGCGAGTCCAGCAGTGTCAGCAGTAGCAAAGACCAAGTCGTCGACGTACACGAGGATGTAGAACGGCGGCAGAGTAGTGTCGGTGCGGAGAAACAGCGACGGGTCAGCAGTGGAAGGAGCAAACCCAAGAGCCGCAAGCGTAGTCCTCAATGTGTCATGCCACTCGCGGGGTGCCTAGCGGAGACCGTAGACTGGCCGCCAGAAGCTCCACTGGGTACTAGGAGGAAACGACCCAGTGAAGCTAGGTGGGCAGCGCAGCCAGATCTCCTCGTGCAGGCTGCCCTATAGGAAGGCAGTGTTGAAGTCAAGAAAGTGAAGCTCGTAGTCACGCTGAGCAGCGACGTGCAGTAGTACCCGAAGAGTGGTCATTTTCAGGGTGGGAGAGAAGGTCTGAAAGTACTCAACTCCTTGCCGTTGACTGAAGCCTCGAGCCACGTAACGCCCCTTGTAGACAGGCGGAGAACCCAGCGGCCGCTTCACCCTGAAAATCCACATGCCATCGACAATGTTCGCCCCAGGTTGGGGAACCTCGTCAACGTAGGTGCCTGTGGACTTCCTCTGCGTCCATGGCTGTCTGCCACTGAGAGGAGTAGGGACCCTCTATCGCCTCTGCGTAAGAGCGCGGGGTCGGGATGTCTGGAGCATCTAGGTCTCCTTCAGGGGCAATCAGCATGGACACGAGATGAGGTAAAGCAACAGCAAAACACTGGAACTCCCCCTGCCTGTCCTCAAGGACGTCCGTGCTAAGGGCACACTCACCCCCGACGGACGGAGGACAGACAGACTCAGACTCAGCAACAATACTAGCGGCGTAGTCTAGATGACAGTGAGTAGCAAAGTCGACAAGCTCAGCCAAAAGAGCAGACGCAGCAATAGACTCAAAGGAAGGGCCAGTGACAACAGTGGCCAGGAGACGTGTGACATTAGGACTAGCAGCACGAAGGGAGCTCGACTCCGGGTCAGCAAGAGCAGGAAGGGAGGACGCGGGAGGAGACGGCAGAGGGACACGCTGTGGAGCAGTGGAAGGACGCAGTTCCATCTGGTGCGTGCCGGGGACAGGAGGAGGACGCTGACGCGAACCACGACGACCAGTGCGAGCAGCAGGAACAGGCGATGTAGGGCGAGACGCAGGCTAACGACGCTCACCAAGACCTCCGGTCGGACCAGTCTAAGGAGAAGGATCAGGCAGTGGGGAGGCCGGCTGTAACTGTGACTGCGACTAAACCGGTGGTGGACACTCTAAGGGAGGAGCAAGACTAGTAGAAGGCGGGAGACCAAGAACGTGCTGAAGGATTGGAACGAAGTACGGCCGCGACCGTACGGCACCACCAGAACCAGCAGAGACAGCACCAGCACCCCCAGCGTCAGCTCCAACTCCTGCAGCACCACCAGCCCTAGTAGCACCTCCAGCAGCTTCAGCAGCGCCAACTCCAGCACCTCCAGCAGACCCAGTTCTAGTTGGACCACCAAAAGTCCCAGTAGCTCCTGTAGCGCCCGCTCTAGCACCTCCAATAGCACCTGCTCCAGCAGTACCGCCAGCTCCAGCACCTCCAGCAGCTCTAGCTCCAGCAGCACCACCAAGCCCAGCAGCTCCAGTACCTCCAGTACGAGCACCTCCGGGACTAGTGGCTCCAGAACCCCCAGTAGCTCCAGTAGTAGCAGGACCCCCAGCTCCGGCAGCACCACTAGCTCCAGCAGCACGGCTCCAGCGCCGAGCAAACCACTCGCGCAGCTGCTGTGGAGAGAGTGGCTCCCGCCGGGACAAGGGACCCAAGGGACCTCGAGGCTCAGCACCCCCAGGCTCAGCACTCCCAGGCTCCACACACGCAGGCTCAGTACCCGCAGGCTTCCTCGGACTCAGCAACCCCAGGCTCAGCACCACCAGACTCAGTACCCCCAGGCTTAGCACCCCCAGGCTCCGCACGCTCAGGCTCAGCACCCCTTGACTCAGCACCCCCAGACTCATCACCCTCTGGCTCAGCACCCCCAGACCCGGCACCCGCAGGCTCAGCACCCCTAGCAGCACCAGAGTCAACAGCTACCTCGACAGGCTCGACTGCGTCTACCTTGGACACACTTGAGGGGGCAGTACCCTGAGGGGGGAGGGGGTCTACCGGGGGAGGAC